CCGCCGCGCCAGAATGGCTGGCGCCCTTCATGTCGATGCCCAGGTGCGCCGCGAGCAAGCTCTGGTACGTCTCCTGGTCCATCCGCACTCGCTCCCCACCTTCCTGGCGACGCGACGTCGGCGCGGCAGCGCCCCCCTCGCTTTGCAATCGCGTGGCCAACGCGTTTATTTCGGCATAATTCAGACGTGCCAGCTGCTCCGCGCCCACGCCGTCCTGCGCGCTCCCGCTGCTGCCGCGAGCTTCCAGCCCACCCCGGGACGCCGCGCGCCGCTTCGGCGCCCTGCCGCGGGGCGCTGCTGCCTGCGGCGACCTGGAGCGAGACCGCGACTTGCCGAGCGCGACGACGCGGCACCACGAAACAGTCTCTTCCGTTCCCCTCTCCCCAACATCACCTAGTGCATCCCACGGCGCAGCGTGGGCGCGGCCAGTGTCAAGTCGCGCCAGCGATCCCACGCGCGCCACATCTCCGTCAGCTGGTACCCAATACACTTTTTTTGATTAGCGGGTCGAGAGCGAGCCTCTTTCGGTCGAAGCTAAGCGGGCCGCGCGCAGCTGTAATTAACAGAGGAATGGAAAAAGAAGGCGGGGCCTCACGTCAAGGCCAAGAAAGGGCAAAGCCCCAGGATCAGGCGGTGCCGAAAGCGAAGTGCATGCAATGGAACGCCGTGGACAGGGCCCAGAGGCGAAGTACCGGGGGGCGAAAAGCTGGCGGCGGTGCGTTAGCTGCGCACCATGTACACCAACCCTATAAACTGCGGGAGAGGACGCGCCGCGCATCCAGGGCGACGCCCGAGAGGATGAGAAGCACCGCTGGGCCAGAGTGAGACGTAGTGCCACCAGGCAGGATGCAGGAAAAAGAGCTGCAGTCGTGAGGCGTGGCTGCCAGGCGAAGCCGGTAACGTGCCGCCCAGGACCGACAGGGTGCCGGTGTGCTGCAGGGGGGGCGCCTGCCCCGCAGTGGCAAGCGCGTGGGAATGGGCTGGGGCCGCGCGCGTTGCGCTGCCGTTCCGCGGTGCCAAGGGCCGGGCCGAAGCCGCGCAGCGCCAAGGCCCGCGGGGCTGCCGAGGCGGCGAGGTGCAAGCGCCAGGCGCCGGGCTGAAGCCGCGGTGTGCCGGGCACTGCCGCCATGGGGGGGGCAGCGAGCAGGGGGGGGAAGCGGGCGGGAAGGAGAAAGGCTGGCTCAGCGGGCCAGCGGTCGCCAGAGCAGCCCCGCGCCAGCAGCTGAGCGCGGCCCGTGCTGAGCAGGGGGACCCCGCGGAACCGGGGGGGACAAACGGCCCCGGAATCAGGTGAAGGAAGGGGGGGGGGAGGCGGAGGGCAAGTCGCCGAAGACGTTGACCAGGCCGAATTCGACGAGGACGCCGCAATGCCAGGGCCAGGGAGGCGGCCCCGGCGGTGCAGGTGGCAGGGGGGCCCTGCGGAATCAGGGGGGACTAACGGTCCCATATCCAGGTAGACAAACAGGGAGGGGGGAGGAGGGCAGGTAGCCGAAGGCGCTGACCAGGCCGTACTCGAGGAGAACGCCGCGGTGCCAGAGCCAGGTGGGGCGGTTCGGGCAAGGTGCCCGTGGCCAAGAGGACCGTGCGGCGCTGCAGTGTATTATCGCTTAGCCCTGCACCCCGTGCCAGTGTCGTTTCGGGACGCGTGCAGGCCGTCCCCCGCGCCCGTGGTGGATGGCCGTTCGTGCTCGTCATACACGTGGTGCTGCTCTCGTTCGTAGGACTTCTCGATGTGCTGGGCGTAATGGTGCTGCTGGTGCCAGTCGCGCTCGCCACACTTGTGGAGCTGTTCACCGTTGTACTGCTCGTCGTCGTGCTGGGCGTAGTGGTGCCGCTAGTGTCCGTCGGTCGTATTACTTTCGATGTGCTGGGCGTAGTTGTGTCGCTGGTAGCGGTCGTACTCGTCGTGCTCATGGTGCTGCTCTCGGTCGTACTGCTTGCCGACAAGCTGGACGTAGTGGGGCCTGAGGAACTGATGGCGCGCAAGTCTTGACATCCATTGAGTTTTGCTCGTTCTTTCCGAGGGAGTTGGCTCGGTGGTCTGCCTGCCTTTGCGGGGGGCGCGGGCTGCCTGATGGTGCGGGCTGCGCCGTCGCAGGTGACGCCGCGCACCTCCGCTCCCAGGGGGCGGCTTCGGTTGTCTGGCTTCGGCTTGAGGGTGGCGCGGCCTGGAGGGTGCGAGCTGCGTCGTCCCAGGTGACGCTGCGCACCTGTGTCGGGAAATGTCCAGCTGTTGGGTCTTGATGGCGACCCTGCGGTTCAGACGCTATATAGCTGTTTTCCGTTGCTTGGTCTCGTTCCTGCAATCTTTGCCTTGCCGTATCTTCATGTACTAGTTTCATGTCCTCTTATGGGCACCGTTTTGGCTCCTCCTTTGCCGCTCTTTCTCCACCCCTGCTCCCTGGCTCTTTGGGTTCTCTTACGCTCTTGCTTGCTCTGGCGTATTTTTGGCTCCCCGTCTGTCGGGTAATCAAGATTTCTTTGTCGACATGGTCTCTTGCACGTACGTGTTTTGGCAGCGTCGCCAGCAACAGCAGCAGCACGTACAACAGCATCACCATCACCATCACCATCACACTCACTATCACCATCACCATCACCATCACCATCACCATCACCATCACCATCACCATCACCATCACCATCACCATCACCATCACCATCACCATCACCATCACCATCACCATCACCATCACCATCACCATCACCATCACCATCACCATCACCATCACCATCACCATCACCATCACAATCATCATCATCATCATCATCATCATCATCAGCATCATCATCATCACCATCCTCATCCCCATCCTCACCATCATTATCAACACCGTCATCATCTTTGTCACCTTCCTCCCAGCAGCATTTTTCCTATCGCCGTCCGCATCGTCATCGGAGCTGTGGTCGTCATCATCTCGCATAACGCAGATGTCGACTACATGTATGTGTATATAGTGATTTCCTCCCTTTGGGAGAGGGGCGGGGAAGGCAAAGGTGAGCAAGGGAACGTTATGCGAAGGAGGGGTCGAAGAGGAGGGGGATGAGGAGGAGCAGGAGGAGGCAGCCTTACAGGTCGCTCCATCAAAGCAGGTTGCGTGCCCCTATGAGCATCCCTTACGGCGTCCATGGCGTGGGCCAGAATACCTCAGAGCGAACGGTGTAGATTGATTGTCTCGGTGCTCGTTGTGCGCTGTGCTCACACGTGGCTGCCCTGACGCCCCATGAAGCTGACATCCATGCCTTGGTGCTCCCAGCTGGAAGTTTTGGAACCGCATCCACGCGCCCGCGTGCTTAGCTGTTCGCGAGCTGCGTCGTTGGAGCATGGCATTGGCGGAACATGGCATCGACCGACGCGCCAGACTCAGGTCGACTGCGGGCAAAATGGTGGCGTTGCATCGCCTAGGCTGTCGTGGATGCAACATCTGTGTACGATGCGCTTTCAGCTAGGGAGGGGGGGGGCTGATGGGTCGGGTTCGGGGGATGGCCAACCCGTTGTGTTGCGATGAGGGGTTTCTCGCAGTCTGGCTCCGCCTTCCACAGTCGGGCCCGTAACCTCCGGTATGCGAGCACAGCGGTACAAGAGTGGGTGGGCGCGCATTTTTGTCGAAGGCGTTGCAAGGATGGGCGGGGGATTGCGCTACGAGAAAATGCCATAAACCCAGGAAGTTGTTTGCTGGTACGTTCTATATGTATGGTGGCGGATGATGTCGGTATTCGCACTGTCAACCGTTGATCGTGTCCCCACGATCCTTTACGCCGTTAACCACGGCCGCTCACAGCTGTGGGCGCGTTTGCCTGCAGCTTCGGGTCGTCATTCCCACTTCCCACCCCGTCCACTGCCGTGCGACAGCTGCTTTTAGCGTGCCATGTGGGGTCTTAATCATGCAGATTGAGGTGCGCTTTCGCGCCCTTGGATGGGAAACGGGATTTCATATTTGTTTCGCTTATACAGCGAGCTCTCTGCTGGTACCGGGGTGCGTACTGGAGTTTCTGCACGAGCCAGGATAGTGACCGTGTGCGAGTTGGCACATGGTTGGGCAATGCAAGCAGGCAGTCGAAATCGTATACTTTCAGGCGGGCGTGCGGCCTACATGAGCTTTGGCAGGCCTGCGACCCCACGGGGGCCTGGCGCATGATCTCAGACTTCATGCAGAACGAAGGGCTCAGCACGCGCTCTTACTTCATCTATTTTGGCGAGGTCTCCAGGTGGGACTTCACCACTACGCGACGAATGCCGCATATGCAGTGTGACAGTTGGTATCTTCACACTGTTACGCGCATCGAGCTGTGATTCATCTGAGTGATGATCTACCCGCCCACTTTTTGTCACTGCACCGAGCTCGTGCATCAGAGGCCTTTTTCAGGCCTCTTTCAGGCCTCATGGGGTCTTCTGGGGTCTCTTGGGGCTCTTTTTGGCGTTTTTGGGCCTCTCGGGGGCTCTCTTCGACTGTCTTGGCGCCGTATTGGGCCTCTTGAGACCCTCTTTGGCCGTTTGGAGTGGTTCTTTTATGTTTGGCTGTTCGAAGCCTCTCCTGGAGAGTGTTGTAGGTCTCCTGGGTCGCTTGGGGCTTGTTGGAACCTAGTGAAGGCCTTCTGAGCATTTCGGGGGTGTCCCAGACTCTTTGGGGATCTTGGGGACG